AGGTTTAACAAAATCAAAATTCAAAAAGAGATACCATGGCTTAAAGAATGGTGCATGCTTTTATGGCAACCTTTGGTATTGTCGGAGACCTTTCGGTGTTTGGTCGTCCATAGAATTTTGTCTTCCATAGTGCCTACTGTACTTGTTGCATTTTACTGCCTGCGTTCATCCAAATTATAATAAACCCTTTCTGCTTTTATTGCACGAGTGGAAATTATTATACCATTCGATTTGGATCACGTGTGTGATGGTTAAAGGGTTTCAAGGTTTCATTTGTTAACAATGTTATAGAGTCACCTCAAAGAACAAAGAATTCGTTTCACACGTATCTGTATAAGGAAATTGAACGGTAACACTTTTATTCAGCTCAAAAATGCTATGTGAAAGCCGCAATTCTTTTTTCTCTTTTTTAAAGAAATATTTTAGCTTCAAACATCAAATGAAGTTCAAAATTATTATTGATATTGTCAAACTTTTATCAGTTTGTCATTCAATTTTTTAGTAATTAGATATGACCTCTGTATAAGTACCCTGAAGCGTGTGACTCGCAATCGCTTTAGTGTCAATCAACTTAACAGTTTCCATCACACAAAATTAGCTGGCACCTGAATTGAACCAGCATGTCTTAATAATTGTAGCCTTCATGGCAGCCTTCACGATAATGCCATTTTTTTGTTCTCGCTATACAGCTGAGTTCACAAAATTTAAAACGCGAAGTTAAATTTCTCAACCCCACAGCTGTCACTGGTTTACCGAAAAGCGCCAGAGACCGAAATAGCTTGAAGTAATTCCAGTTTATTTAAACACTTATCGATTGGTTCTGTGACAGCTGGAATAGGTATATACAAGTACATGCGAGATATCGTCTTGTCAATATTATGATGATAAAAATTATCCTGACTGTAATGATTATACGTTCTTGCTTGAAATTGACAGCTTTTTTAATTAATGATGTGAAAAATGTCGGTAGATAACATACGGAATCAAATAAAAATTTCCCAAGGAAAACCAGGTAATCCATGACATGCCATGTAAATCTGTAATTGATAGTTTGTCTTAGAGAATACCTTCGTTCATCGTCAGCATATTAATTGCTAGCAAGGAAAACGAAATGCTGGTCTCATACATAATGTAATCAAATAGCAGTACACTAACGAGAAAAGACAACCACTTACGATTTAAATATAACTTTTGTTGGCATTTTCGAAAAACAGTTTAAAGCCAAATGCCGATTAAGGCAAATTTTTAGTTGTTCTACAAGACTCCCCTACAAAGTAGAGCACAAAATGTTTTTAAAAAACTGTACAGCAATGACACCAGAGTCCCTTCCCATGGGATTAATAACAAAAATAACATATAATTGGAAAGCTACAAATACGTTCAAAATAGTTCAGCATTGTTCTTCAGCTACTTTACCCCCAATTTTGTGGGAACAGTCATTCCTTTAGTTTTACTTATGTCTCGCTTTCTGTAAACACACTTTTAACCAAACCTGTTAATTTCAAAGAAACTGAAACTCTAAATACATTACAAGACTTCGCGGTAAATTAATATTGTAATACTTTTCCTATTCCTAAGTTAAATAGTGTAAAGAATGTACAAAAAGATGTGAAAAGGAAAATTTGATAACAACCGCAGCGGTTGAAAGCAAGACTTCCAAATATACAAATGCCATAAAGATTACAGCAAATTTTGATATTGTGCGAGGATGACCTCTTTTTTGTTAGCGGGCTGTCTACTATAATGTATCGTCAGAGAATTTGGATGTTGATTAGTTCGTGTATTTTCGTTGGTAACCACGAAACCTGTAGCTAGATGTAGGCTACTGCTCTCTTTCTGATCACCAGACTCAGCGCATATGTAGGAATTACAGGTGATTACAGACGGTCGCTTCGATTTTTTGAAAACAAAGGCTGTGTAATCATACGTAAATGTTGTATGTGTTTTGTTTTCAAGAAAACAGGTTTACGTATGTACTCTGTACACTAAGGCTTCCGCCTCTGGACTAATTTCGAGCAATGTTAGCCTAGGATTCCCTTGGATTCATCAGAGCAAATTCATGGGTGATGACGCCTGCTCTTGTAGATTCTACGGTCACATGGTTCACTGATGAACATCGTGTCCTCACACCGCATCGTATGGCGGGGAGCAATAGCTAGAGATTTTAGAACTGCGTCTGCGCTATACGTACATGGTCCAGTTTAGTATAGTTTATCACTTCGTACCCTGAAAATTTCATTTTTTTTCCAGTTTATCCGACCGACTTTGTTTTGTTGCTGTTTGGTTTTTAAGGGTGGGGTACTTATTTTTCACTTAGTTACGCTCAAGGTACGTATGTAGAGCAAGGTGCGAAAACAATCATAGACCACGAAGTACTTTATCTCCGGTGATAAAGTGGTAATAAAATGAACGCTGTACAACTAGATCACCTAATTTTCATCTCCCGCATAAGTAACAGTGATACATAACATAGTAACAAAGAACAAGCCGGACATTACATCTGGAAACTAGATCACCTAATTCTCATTTCCTGCGCAAGTTACGGGGGCATTGGTACCATTCTTGCATTTCTACGATATATTCATCCGCATGCATTGCTTCATGAGCGAAGCAAATAATCCGCATGCGCCGTATAACACATCGTTACAGGCAGCATCTGGCGCTGAAAAGACAGCGTACGTGTCCATTTGTTCTCGCATGTGATTTCATCAAACGCTCCCGGAAACCCTGGGGTTGAGGCATCTTAAAATACTGGATGGGTTTTTGTGACAGTTTGACGCCGTAAGCAGGTCGTGTATTGCCGATCGAGGAAGTTGATCACCGTAAGTGGACAATTATGGTCGATCAATTATTGATTTCTGACAGAAATTTGGAACGATTCATTGGTATCATTCAATTCCTTTGTCAGCAAATTCAGTGTTAAGCTATTAAATGGGAAGATTTTATTGAGTAAGCAACTTTAAATGTTTCCAGACTTCAACTACATGTAAAACACTTTACAAAGAGATTGCAGTTTATTTCTAGCTAAAATTTAGAAAAATTTAAATATCCTTTCCTTTCTTATATTAGCAGTATCATTTCAATTTTCTTTAGTCCATTTTTTCCGTTTAATTCAGTTTATTTCTTTGTCCGTACTGCTGTTTTATTTGAAAGGTTTTTGCACATACTGCTTGAAAATTTTATTTCGATTCCTTTCCTCTTCAGTCTTTCTTATTTGAACTTACAAAGACAGATATTTGGCTTGTCATGTCAAATGTCAGTTTGTTGTACGTCTTTTTTTTCTTTTTGGTAGATCGACAGATACTTCTTAATTGAATGTGGAATAGCCAGATCACCTGAGTCGATGTAATGGGCGCCAGTTTAAGAAACAGAGAGGAAAACGTCACACTGGAAGACAGAAAGCTTCCACTGGCGTTTTTTTATTGGGACAGCCGCCTCGGGAGTTTGTTCTCAATTTTTCAAAAAGATGTTTTCAAAATGCTTTCAGCGAATAAAGAAAGATGCTATGTTTGTATACAGAGTTTAGTTAGCGCAAGAATAACTGGGAAAATTATTCTTTGGCTTTTTGTAAGGATTGGCTTCTTGTTTCCTTTGCAAATGATTGGAATACTTTGTCAAGAGATGTTGTGTCTGTCAATTACTCGTTAAGGTTGTACCAGTATTTAATATAAATATGAAACGATAAAGAAAAGTAGAGAATTTAATTATACTATTTTGAGATTCAGTCTCTTTGGTCATGTATCTACATCGTATTCTTTTGACGTCCATGTAAATGTTCTGGATTTGACCTCAAATGAACCAGTCCTAAAATCGAATTAATGTAAACCTGAAGGCTGAAATTTAATTTCAAAGTAATTTGTATCGATGTTCTCCAATTTTTGTATTTACATCAACCACGTTGTATCGATCAAGAGTGAATCCCCACATTTGCAAGATGTATCGGGTTTCATGACTGAAGTGGTAGGGGCAAAGAGAAAGAGTTTACACGTCATTCATAGGATTCAGAGCATGCGCACTGCTGACTCGCACTGAAGGAGAAATTACTGTCCCTTTATGTCTCGTGTGCCTGAATGTCTCAGAATGTATAAGATTCCACTGGAATTAGTAGTTGAGATCGGATCACAAGTTCCTGTTACATTGTATCGAATGATAAAAGCCCTTTTAGTGGTGCGTTTTTCTATTTTAATTCATTTTGTAAGACTGGCAACAGAGTGTAGCGAGTAACCATCTGCGATAACCCACCAGATCTCTGACAGCCAATTCTCCATATTTCATTGCAAAGACTGAAGTTTGGTTACTGATCGATTCCTCTGTGATGAAATTTGCTAGATGTTGCCTTGTTCAGTTAATGTGTTTAATTGAGCTTGAACCTAAAAGGTTGAAGGAAAAAACTGTACCAACTTGTGATCATAAAATGAACCTACTGTCAACAAAAAGTGTTCATGGCCAGAATTAAGTGTGAAAGAAAATCAAAAGCAGCTCAGGTCATGGTTCTGAAATTGTTGTAGCCCACGCATTTTTTAGAAATTAAGTTGTTCTAGATTATTTCGGAAATCTGAATTGTGCACACCAAGTTCTGACACATCGAGATGAATCTGTTCATTGGTTGTTTCAAATTTACAAGCAGAAGATAAGTGCAAATTTATAATGACAGCATATATAAGAGTGTACCTCTCTAGTAAGTGCTTCTGAGAAGTATCTGGTTGAGGCAGCCGTCTTTGATCATGTTGAGCCTTTAGCTAATAACTGATAAATCTGTCCGGTCCGCGATGAACGCCACTTCTTTTCATGTTTCAACGGAATACAGTACTTTGTAAATTGTACACAAGATAAGGTACTACACGAGGATCTTAAAACCACAAAAGCAATTCCTCTGTCATCTAAAATCCCAGACCTTTTCAGTTATTAGCTCTTGGATTCTAAATCAGCCGGACTGCAAAAACAAACGAAACACACACATAAAAGGCAAGTAACATTTAATATTTCTTTGTTGTTCTCAGGCTAACAGCGAGCTACTTAACCAAGCACCAACCACTGATGAAAAGCGAACAAGCCCGACGTTCAGGAAACCGTTCCTGCTGTCCTCTTGCCGTAATTAAGGATGACCTGAGTGGTTCTCCCTTTGAGATCTGCGTAAATTAGCCAAGAAGATCGAGGAGCACTGCCTGACGGATCAATGCACAATCCCTGTGGGACTCACCATCGCAGAACCAGGCTTAATAATTACACACATCTCCGTGTCACATGAGAGATACGAAGCACGTTGGAACAATCAACCTTCGAACTTAGCTTACATTGGCCAAGACTTATTAGCCAGACTTTAAGCTTCGATGAGATGGCACAACACGATACCTGTATAAAGTGTAGACTTGGTGAGCAGTGAGTGAATTGAAGAGTTGTCGTTCAAGGATAATATGACATCCCCAGACATTAGATCTTGCCTCAGTTTAACACCAGGCGGAAATTGAACTGAGAGGAATCTTTTGAAGCGATAAACCGCATTGATATTATTGAGGCAAACTTTCTCCCAACTCCGTTCTTTGTATGAATGATACCTGACGCTTTTTTGAAACTCCTCTGTTTTTCCCGTGCCGGATTTCTCTTTGTGAAAATGGTCCGTGACGTTTGTTGAAAGTTTTTATAAATGTCGTATGTATAGAAACTGTTTGCCCCTCACATCACGCCCAGTATTCTGCTCTCTTTTCCTGAAGGAAGTGAAGGCAGGTGGCTTGGTGAATTAAGCTTTGATTCCGATCGATTGGGATTTTCTTTTGGCGATTTAATTTCTCCGCTCTCCGTATGATTGTCCGTCCAAATAGATTAATAGAAATCGCCGACATGGAGATACCTCCTAATCACACGCTTTACAACACCTCCGATGACAGCACTCCTACTATTGTCATCATTGATTTCTTAATCAAGCTTATAGGAATTATTGGCAACAGCAGCGTAATCCTCATCATCATTGGCTTCAGAGATATGCGAAATATCCCCAATCTGCAGATTATGAGCATGGCCATTGGTGATTTAGTGTACCTCGTCATTCAGGTTCCTAATTCGATTGCTTTCAACTTTGTCAAAGTGTGGACTTTTGGCGAAGCCTACTGCAGGATTTTCCTTGCTTCAACTTCCATCTCGCAAGGAATTTCTGTACTGACTTTGGCCGCATTGAGTGCCGATCGATACTATGCCATCGCTCGACCAATGGCACGACGTAAGATTAACGTAACGCAATACACACTGATAACTGTCGTCGTGATTTGGTCGGTGTCCGTCTTAGCTGCAATCCCTGCCTTTGTGGAAGCTATATATCATCCATTTTGTCAAATACCTCGTTACACCGTCATTTACAAAGTGTTTATCATCTTACAGGCTGTGTGCCTCTATGTCCTGCCTCTAACACTGATTGCTTTGTTCTATGCGCTTACAGCTCACACCTTGTGTCGCGGAGGGGAACGAATCGGTCACAAAGTTCGTGACGGTAACGGAAGGCGCGACCCTCATTTCAAAGCTCGCCGTCGTTTAGCCATTATCATTTTAGTTGCTGTGGTTTGCTTTGCTGTGTGTTGGCTACCTCACCATGTCTACACACTTTGGAGTGAATTTGAAGTGCACATGGAAGTCTTCATTACACCATTTATGCTGGGCTTCATGGACATGACGTATCTGATGGTTTCTTTGTCATCTTGTCTCAATCCGCTGATTTTATACGTCATGAGCTCCAATTATCGACGGCATTTCAAGAGAATGTTTCTGAGCTGGTGTAGATGTTGTCGAGATAAAAACCAGCCACTCGGTCACACCTGGACATTGCTAACAGCCTTCAAGACAGCGGTCCCCAACTCACGGAGAAGTAGCATGGAATTTCAAATGAAGCAGAGCTCCTCTACACTTGTCTCACATAGCTAAACTCACATCAACCCTTAAACTTGACTTGGGAGACAATTCATTACAAAGTCATTAAAGTGAGCGATAACCTAGCCACTCCGTTTGTTGTGTTCGCATTAGTGGCACTAGAGGTAGAACATTGGATGACAGTTTTGGTCTCAAAGGTTGTGACTGTCTACATTAAGAATCCTTCGCAGACGACGTGGAATGCTGAGCTCAGAATGGCAGATTTGCCGTTCAGTTCCGCTAATTCGGTTTTTCAACATAAAGTTGCTGTGTTGAAATTTAATGGCAGAGCTAACCTTTATGGAAGAGTTATTTATTGCTCTCTGTTTTGTTCTTATCTATTCTTTTACTCATCTTACTTCAATCACATACACGATTATAATTTCTTTTTCCATTCTATTGTTAAACCAAACGAGAACAAATGGTCGCATAAATTGCTTTATTTAGTTGTGTAAAAAGGTGACGAGCGGTAACGATGTTAGCAGAGATGACGTCATAGGTACGTCTGCCAAGACAGGCTCACACATCATTGGCGATACACTGCTGGGTTCGAGTAGCTTCAGCCTCGTCCCCACAGTCTCGTTATATGGTACACAAAGGCAGCATCCCTGGTCAGGGTTGCCCTGCAAAAGCTATTCGAATGTACCGAGTAGGCCTATGAACATGCATATACATTAACAAAGAGAGAGGAAGCTTCATCGTTTCATGAATCAATTTCTGACATTATTTTTGTTCACTTTCTCAGCGAGACTTCATATTAAAGACGACTTTGCATCTTTAATCAACAGAAAATTGTTTTGTCTAGTTGACTGCCACATTAATTTACATTATCCTCATTAGAACGAGTGAAATTGGTGCTAATGTTTTTCAGAAAAGGTAGCCACTGAATTTCGTTAAAGTTTCAATTTATTTTAAAAGACTTTTTATTAAGGGTTTTATTGTGTATTTTACTTTGAATAATCCGTTTCCATCTTGACTATTCGTTAGAATAACTCAAATAATATTTAAAGTGAAGCAGTTTTTATTTGAAAAAAGAGCCAAATGACATAAACTGCAAAAGTGTATACGTGTACATGTATGGTAATATTCTTTAGAAGCAGTATTACACAAGAGTATAGTGGCAGTATTGGTATCATTATCATAGTAATACTAGTGCACCTAATCTAGAAATACTTTCACCAATTAACTATCTGTCCAGACAGTACTGTAGTTATCAATCCAGTTTAATATAGGATATAAATTACTTCTGTTGTCAATCAACTATTTGTCGTAATTTGAATGTTATCTTTATGCACTTGTCACATCACAAAACTTTAAGAAAGATGTTTTGGCAAAGACCGGTATCCTATTTATAAGCTATCGCTCCTCGTGCTATCTGTGTACTCAATGATGCAGATATGAACCTTCCCACATTTCCAGATTTTGTAGGATCTGTAGGAAAATTGTAAAAATCGATCGTTGCTCAGTAGTAAAGGTTTATTAGCTGTTTTGAAAGTACTGTCAAAACAGCGCTTATTTCCTTATTATTTGTTTTTTAAAAGCAATCTTTCAGAAGTCATGCCTTGATTTAAACGTATCAAGGAGAGATGAGTAAGATCACATGGTGTCCTTCGAACTGTTTTCTTGATTTGATTTATAATAATGATGGGCTATAGAGACCCAAAACCTGTGCGCAAGTTATGTGGTGCGTATATTCAGCAAGTTTTTCGTGTTTGCATTTCCTTATAATAATTTATGTGTATACAATAAGTGGTGTGTCAACAGCGTGATGTGAAAGACTCAACATTGAAACACCTGTAAACCTCGCCGTCGCGACAGAATTGTGTTTACTGTGTACGAAGTAGAATTGTAATTTCACCAAAATGTGGTTTGGGCAATAATACATGTCCTACAAAAAGTTGGATGATTATGCTAGATATCTGCCCACCATTACGAAGCGACACGCTAGAGTGTTGCCAATTAAATGCGTCGTCTCAGAAAATGCTGGACTGTTGTCTTTCAACCCATTCGCTGTAATTAAGCTAATTTCATGATTAAAGTGTCTATATCATAATTTGTACATATGAAAAGATAATACTTTCTTGTAAATAACACTTAAAGGTAGCATAAAAGTGCCTATTATTTCCCCTTACTACTCGATTTATTAGTCTTTCCTGGGTCCTAATGATTATTGGAGTCATAATCCTAATCCTTTTATAGATATATGTCACACTCATTGTACCCTCAGATCACGCCTCTCCCGACCTCACCTAAGGATGTTGTTGAATAGTTTCATTCCAAACAACTCTCATGCTGCCGTATATGAGAAACGAGTTCCTATGATGTCACTTTATAGAATTCCGAGTTAATTTAATGGATCAGTTCGGGCGCATGATCAGTATACGCATTCACAGCCCATTTTAAGCCCTTACTGATATAGTCTATCAGTGAAAGCCTCATGACACGTCTTAACCCCCCCCCCTTTCTAAACCAAGGCCGAATTTTTGTATGATATACTTCGCAGATTGCTGTAAATTTAACAGCTCTTAATAGAAAATACTTTAGTACTACCTTCAACCTGTAATATTTCATTTACTTTTAGGCTACATTGAATCCGTTTTCTTTTATTTTAGCACACGGCGGTGGCTTTGTACTTATCTTATATTAATATACTCTTTTCCTATGTATACAGGTGTGTATTCTCTGTTAGACATTGCATTGTACATAAAGAAAGGCTGTTAGCGTAGTAACATTTACACATTATCAATCAATTAATTGTATTTTAGAAAAGGGACTAGTATGAGCCTTAAACCATTTTCTTAATTTGGTTTCACAGGTTCTGCAATAGAAACTTCGTCATGTCGCACCTAACCTTTTCAAACGACACCCCCAACACTCAGCGAAGTTCAGCCAGGATGTTTCGTAACTGATAACAAACTGAACCCGTTGGGCAAAATATTTTTGTTTCATGTTATTATCTAGGACGCTTATTCGCTTTGCCTGATAACCTTTCGCCGTCTCTCGCTTTTTAAGTTGCTTTCTGATGAAGAAATAAGATCCCTGGCTATTACCAGCGGAAGCGATCCGGATGAGGTATCGGAACGAAGATGCTTTATCGCGCAATCTGTTAATGATACCCCAGGAGTACACAGTTAGTCCAGAACCCTGCTCTAGATTCATACCAACTTCTGTTTTATTTAAATAATAAAATTCTTCTGTTTTTGACAATAATTTCACATCATCAGTTGAAAACAATCGGGTAATGCTAGTTCCAGCTAGGAAGAAGAAAAAATGGGTTCTGCTTAGAGAATTTCGTTGACAGTTTCTGTCAAAGAGCTCTTGAATATAAGCGTAAGATGGAGGCTGGTAAGTTTTACCCTACTTTGCTAGTGCCATTGGACAGTGCCTTGTGAATTCCACAAAATACACATAAAGAGATGTCTCTATGGTTAAATCTTGTACCATTGCGTATACTTCTTACAGGCACTTCTATATAACATCGAAGTAACATCTGAATTGTAGAGGATATCAACAAGAATTGCATTTCACAAATTCATAATCCTTTTGTTTTCTCCATGCATGGAACCATTTCCAAATCCATTAAACTAATGTTGTCATAACCAAGTAATGTCACGCAGAAAGAAAACATGTACATTAGATTTAGAGCCAGTCAAATTAAGGAAAGATTGCGTGGAATTTACATGAAAAAACGTCTCTTTCCAGGACCACAAGCGAAAACGAAACTGTGAAAATTCCTGTCTTTGTGTTCCTATGTGCTAACAAATCGAATGTACTTTTGTCCGATGATTGCAACCGTGTTTGCTGACGGACTGTGACATTTAGGCACGAACCGCGCAGTTGCAATGGTGTTATAGTTTGAAATGAATAATTCAAATCGATACCTATGACATATAACAAAATTAGATTACTGTTTTGCGGGGATATAATAAATTCCATGTTAATGCTGTCTATTACACCTTGCCTTCAATGCACTTGCCCAGCCTACTCATATCTAAAACACGTTACTTGCAGAGTACCGTAAAATTTTGATTAGGTTAACATCTTACGTGTTAAAGTAGGTTGAAAAATAAAATAAAATCAAAGATGTGCGATGTGTGGCTTGGAATCTCTTTTTTTCCCCAAAGAAGTTGGATCCGAAATCAAATGTTCGTGGGTGTTAAAAAAATTCGAGGGGGCTAAACCTGAGAATGTCTTTATTTAGCCTTTATGGGCTCTCTGAGTGTGAGCCTATAGAGTTGAATACAATTTGCAGAGGCCAGGAGAATAACACCACCACCCCCCCGCAAAATCGTCTGTCATTCTTTTAAAGCAAAAAATCGGTACCAGTGTCTCTTAGGGGTTCGAATTCAAGAAGTTTGTTCAACAAAAATGCTTGCAAACACCGTTATCAGAAAAAAAAATCATCTATTGGAGGAAAACAATCCCTATTGCGATATCTCCATAAATTCTGACGAGAGGAGACAGCTGTCTTACGTTGCTACCCACCCCCTGGCTAGGCTGAAGTTACTGATTTGTTTCATCTTCCAGTTACACTGAAGATGAAACTCGAAGCAGTACTATCCCTGGCAAGTCACACGGTGATAGATTTTAAAATGTCAGGGTGGATTACACAGTTGACGATCTAAAAAAGGGAGGTAGAGTGACCTGTACCAGTGAAAAGGAAACCCCCATGACACAAACACGCTATCCAGTAATACTGCCATGACTTGTGTTAAGAACCAAGCGTGACACCTTTGCGCCGATACGTTGCCCTACTTTCATAGATCAACGTTTAGAACTTCGGTTTCTGTATTTATGGGCTAGTGAGAAAAAATAACTAACGCCTAACAAAGGCAGACTCGGAAGATATACAGACTGTGATGGGAATGCAGGATCCAATGTCTAACATTGGAGGTTGTCATCGTTTACTTCCCAAGAATTACATCTTTACTTGGGGAGAATGATTCGACTGAGTAGCTGTTAAAGGTGTTTTTTTATAAAAATGAGGCAGACAAAGGGGGCTAACATCAAGTGGAACATCCAAAATCATCCTCCGGCCTTTGCCAGTAATAGTTATATATATATATATAGTTTTGGTAAAATGTGGTATAGATGGGGCTTGGAGGGACTGGGGAAAGCGTATGAATCTTTAATCGTAATATTTCACCGTATCCATTACCGGACGCTCACCAGTTTGCCCCGGAATCCTCTCGAAGCGCCAAATTTCATGGATCACTGGCTTCATTGGTAAAGAGCCGTTTGACACAGTGGCGGGGCTCCAATGCCTCCGTCAACCAAATACAGTCGAGATGGTTTCAGTTCGGGAATTAAAGTCTTGAAATGGATATGGATATACATTGGCAATTTGGTAGCTTATGGTTATACACAGGCAGTTTGGTGGCTTATGGTTATACACTGGCAGTTTGGTGGCTTATGGTTATACACTGGCAGTTTGGTGGCTTATGGTTATACACTGGCAGTTTGGTGGCTTATGGTTATACACTGGCAGTTTGGTGGCTTATGGTTATACACTGGCAGTTTGGTGGCTTATGGTTATACACTGGCAGTTTGGTGGCTTATGTTTGGGCGGGTACACACTGCAAAAGCCCTAGGCAAGTTTATTTCCCAACATTGAATACCATGTGAATCGCTTCACTGTTAGGCATGGGCGTTAACCCGGGTGGAGGGGGTTTATATATCCCCTCCCCCCTTTGAGGGCGGGGGATGGGCTATTGGATCATCTCCCCCCCCCCCAAAAAAACCATACACTTTTTGTGATGATCAAAAAGTTAAAGCAGATAATGAAGAATTCCCAAGGACTGAAATGTTTGCAATACCACTAAAAAGGGAAAGCAAGTTTTATAAACCATAAATATACCATTCTGATGTAACATTCTGCATGAATTTGATAAAAATTACAGATGTAAATTTTATAATGAACATCGCCTCTATATAGTGTATAATGGTGTCCTCCCGTGCTTTTCAAATTTCCATGGCTGAGCAAGTCATCCCCACCTTTCCCCACCCCACCACCAATTTCCAACACAGATTGACGCCACTGCTGTTGGGCAAAGAGAACACAACACCGAGCAAAGAAATAAATGTACAAATAACACTTTCTACAACCGTTGGGTATAAAATGAGACAAGTTTGTCTATATATCACAAGAGAATCAACGCAGCTGGGTAATCTGTGTGACCAATAGTTAGGCGATTCGCCTGGTGGCCCAGTTTGGCAACAAATTGCCCATGCACCTTTTTTACATTGTATAGTTCCCGTAAAATGACCGTGGACTTCCTCGGCAGTCTGAATGAAGTAGAACCTCATTTTGTAGTTCTATTTAATGTAGTTCATCTTATTATATAACTGATTGCGAGGTTTATCGTGGGATTATTTCTAAGAAAAATGTTAGATGTACTCTGCTTCTCTGCAGGAGCATTTTTCCAGACACTCTGCATGGGTTGGAATGGTACAGACAGCGAAAGTAATTAGCCTAGCGTGTCCTCGTATCAGCTTGAGGTATGCATGGCTCCTACCAGGATGCACTCACACTTACTTGCTTCTCAGTTTCCACCTGTGTGTGATGTTTCATTTCGCATGTCGCTAATTTTGAATTTGGGTTGTGGTAGCAGCTGCGGTTTTACTGGTGTTATGATTACTGAAAATGCTTTAATGGCATCCATGTCCAACAGAGGGATCCCCGCTAAGATATTTCATTTTGGCTTTCATTTTACACATATTACTGGATTTCTGAAAATACAAGAGAGGTGTTCGCAAAGCAAGTTGATTTGGTGACCGATTTCATGCAGTTTATCAGCGCAAAGAAGATTTCCTGATAGCAGAGAAAATTGTATTTAGCAGCCAACAGCCTAATATCAAGCTAAGCTCATATGATATCACTTTTTGCTTGTCCTCAACTGGTTTGCCTTAACTTAAACTGGGTTTGAATTAACATTCTCTGCACAGTATTTGCCTCAGTGGGAATGTCCCAGCAATACAGACTCGTGCTTAAAGTATTGAGACTTCATGGCTTAAATGATAAAAAAGAATTTACGCGGCAATGGAAAGCCACAAATGGAGGCAAGACGACTCAGGGAGGGAAAATCAATGAAGAATGCGGTTCATCAGAATACGTGGAGACATGGTAATGATGTTGATGATAACGAAGCAGCAGTCCATGCTTAGGAGTCTGTGATACATAGATTTAGTCCCCAGGGTATATGGAAATTTTCCCCTGAAGAATTCAGTCAAAATGAGTTGCAGTAAACGAAAAGCACAAAAATAGTTTCCCCACAGCCTCCATTTAACGAACTTAATCTTGTATGCAGTATAAATAGTTATGAATTCGATGCATGTAATTGCAATTATTTCATGAGGTGTCAGGTGGAATATTCAAATCGTCGCCTCCTATTATGGAACATTCAACCTGTCATCTCAGGAAAATGTTCTTTCCAATGCACAAATGTGAGACATCCATTTACTGTGTTATTCAGAGTCTGAACAAATCTTCGACAGGTGTTTGTTCTTGCCTTTTTCCCTTGCCCAGTGTTGTCGTCGCAGTCGCTGTCGTTGTTTGTCGTTGCTTGCGATTCGATTGTTGTCGTTGTTGCTGTTTTTGTCGTTAATTTTTTCATAAGCAACCTCAGCATCGTACAAAATTCCAGACATTTTTTTCTTCTATACAGATTTATTAGGAATAGTATTTTTCGTTTATCGTTATCGTCCATTTTGTGTTAAAAGGCCGCGTGATACTGTCATAAAAAGGACGATTGTGCACCCAAGAAGAACATTCCAACTAAAAACCGGCACCTGGGATTAAAATGTTGTTTTTAAAGTGCAGCTTGCGCCATGCGTTGAGACTAACAATGCATGTCACGTAACAAAGAAGCCACCAGTCAAATGACAGTAATTTATTCAGCTTTTTGTGGTAATTTGCTTTGGTTAGTCATTTTCTTCTGATTTAATCGCTTTGTTTCTCTCTTAGAGGCTATAGCTCCATGTTGATTCTAAAACTACAATATGTATAGTTAAAACAAGTTTTGCTTTAAAATTAGAATTGCTGCAGTGCAAGGTATTAAAAGTGTCCATTGGGATGTCAACATCGTTTATAGTGACAGCAGCAAACATTCGGACAGCACTGCCTTGTATGATTTTGTCAATTAAGCCTATTTCAAAAGAAGATCTCAATAGAAAATGTGAGACGCTTTATCGTTATCTAAATGATACGTATTGGCTACACTATAAAACCAACATTAGATACAAAATAATTAAGCAGTGTATACGGCTAGTATGGAATAATTTACGGACATTTTTAGTAACAAAATGACAGAATGAGGGACAGAATGTCTAATGCCTTTAACAAAGTGAAGTGTCTTTGGAGGGAAATACCATTAAATATCATTAACGCAATTCATTTGCAGTTGACGACCAATAATGAAGGCAATGTCTGCTACTGTGTCTACATGGCTATTCTGGGATAAAATTGTGTCAAATTGCTTTAACAGAAATCGCTGGCGATGGTTTAGTTGTCGGTCTCACTATCTGGCGGGGTTTTCTGAAAGTTCCCCATGGCCCTATTTATTCACCATTAGGCGGCTGTTGGGAGCCAGTTGACATGGAAAAATACAATCACGTCATCAATACAATGATGTTGGAAAGCTTTGACAATGACGAAACAAGAAATTAATCAAGTATAGTCAAACAAACCCGTACTCGTATACAGTTTTGTAGCTTCTTGTTCTAAGACAAACTAAGCCTATTCAAAGTTTTGTAAACAATTGTTTTTCAAAACAAATACGTGAATTTGACACTGACAACAGTGACGACAAACGTAACTTTGACAATGAACACAGTCTGATAACGTCAAAGCAACGACCACAACCAGTTAAGATAATAGTGGTATCCAAATAAACTACGCCTCGTTATTAGAAATAGAAAATTAAAATGAACTCCTATTATTGACAAATTCTGAAAAAAATCAAAATAAGCATATTAGTGATTATTCAAGTGAATGTTTTTGTTACATTTCACCCGCACATTTTCTCAAATATTGCTGAATTGTGCCAAGAATGCGAGACCAAACTATACGAGTACACATCACTGAGTTGTCATTT